GAACCCTCCTGGAGCCACCAGTTGGATCGTTGCTGAGCCCGTGTTGGTTATGAAATGTATTCAGCGGCGCTCAACTGATTTGCAGAAGAAGTCTGAGAACTGTCTTCCGCCGCATGCGTTTGCGGCGTGCGCCCACCAGTCGACGCGCCTTTACGAACCCGCCTCACGCGTCCGCACCAGACAGCACTGCTCATACTAGTTTTTCAAATTGCGTGATTTTTTATCGTAGGCCCATAATGCTTAACTTCAAAATGGAAGATTGAAGTATTGAACTTTTATCGGAAGCATCAGTACCTTGCATTAATAATATAATTATTAATATGTACTTTTCTTTAAATTACCTGATGTTTCGACCAGGTTGTAATGGTAGCCGTCAGAGGCTGACTGGCTCATTGGTAGAATCTTACTCGCCCCTAGAATTTCCCTTATATTTTTCTTGCTACAAGTATATACCGTTACATCCTACGCTAACAACATACTTATGTAGTGTGAACAAATGTACCTATCCATAGACATATGTAAAAAGAGTAAGAAAAGGAAGAAAGAAATAACAACAAAAGGCAACTCACACTCACACTAGGAATATTTCCTGTGTCGCGGGGGACTTTATAAACATTTATAAAAAGGGCACAAGAAACACCCAGACTCAGAACAACAATTTGTGAACCGCTCATAGTTTTGTCAGATTGTGTCAGATTATCCTATCTAGAAAGTAACACAGCTGCTTTATATTTGATAAAAAAATTAAGTTTGTGAAGATAACACATCTATCGATGTGCCCACTATGTTTTACATGTATCTGCCCGGTTCATTCCCAAAATGACGCTTCTTTAAAAAGGAACCTATCTTATCCGTGGATCTCTTGACAAATGGCATATCATACAATAGGGAATATGTCTGTATTTTTTCATTTTTTTAAACGATTCTACTAGTTATTACATTACCAAAAATAAATATAACACATCCGAAATATAAACCATTAAGCAAAAAAAAAATGAATAAAATCACTATCATTTTGGGGCAATTTGAACACGTCCATTTTGGCGAGCTTTTTTTATGACGTCAGATTACACTTTCAGACGAATTCGATGTCAACAACGGAGTGAAGTTCACAAAGTTTGTGAAAGTTAAAAAAGGGAGTGATGTTTATAAACTTATTACCAAAAATAAATATAACACATCCGAAATATAAACCGTTAAGAAAATTTTTTTTTTATTAAAATCACTATAATTTTGGTGCAATTTGGACACGTCCATTTTGGCGCGCTTTTTTTATGACTTCAGATTACACTTTCAGACGAATTCGATGTCAACAACGGAGTGAAGTTCACAAAGTTTGTGAAAGTTAAAAAAGGGAGTGATAAAAATTAACTTATTACCATGGAAAAGCCAATAAAAACTTATTATAAATATTGTGCCGTTCCTTTGTGCCCAAATAATATCAAAACTGCACCTGACAAAGTATATTCAGTCATTGTGTTGAGTCTTTCTACACGGGAATTTAATAATTTAACACTGAAAACGTATTAGTTATTAACTTAAAATGAAACAAATAATCACCAGAAACCAAATATTACAAATACACACAACTTGTTGACACTCTTGACAGTGTAGGTTGACGTCACGTTTTATTCAACCAATAGCGTTGCCTTTTAGAAATTTGTGAGGGAATCTTAAAAAAGCCAATTTTTGATGATTAAATTTCACTATTAAATTATAATAAAGGACAATGGCAGGTCCCCATACATAATTTTATTTGAAGTGAAATGACAGCGTTTAAATATCAAAAATGCCTATAACCCTTGAGAATTTATTCTTGAACATTCTCATAAAAAAATTACTAGCGAAAGAAGTATAGGAAAAAAGATATTGGATTTTGAATGTTTCGAGGTTAAGTACTAAAATATTGTAAATGTTTTGTTTGAAACTAGATGGCGTTGTGTGTCATATATTCGAAAATATTATTCATCATTATTATTACTTATAAGCAACCCTATTTTGCTGTAGAAAGTGTTAGCCGACTCTCTAAATGGGGAAGGAAGGAAGGGTATTTGCTTGGCATGTATTGGTAAACAATAGAAAAAAATCTTCGCTTACATAGCAGGTGTAATACTAGCCATAAATACATAAATTATTAAAAATCATTTGAATAAATGTACTTCAATACACATTTACACAAGGCGGGAGAATTCATTTTATTATTTAGTTATTCAACAGTCAGTAGTTGTGACATTATTTACTAAAATCTAAAGCATGCATCCATTATATTGAGATTAATGCACAACATTTTAAGGCATCACATCATGTATAATGGAGTAACACTATAAAAATTAAAATAAACATATATGAGAGTTTAATACTAAACAAAAGTAAAACAACCAAATAAACTACAATTGCCTTGTGAGAAATGGTATGTAAGTCATGCGTGTAAGTGTCAAACGCCAAGACTATAGTCCGTCAACGTCGTGCGCTACCGTCCTGCGGGGTGACAGACGGTGGCGGGGACGAGGTACTCACGATGTCAGCGGGTAGCGGGTGGTGTAGCGGTGTGTAGCCGTGTGCTAGAATGACGCGCTACCTCGCCCCCGCCACTGTCTGTCACCCCGCGGGACGGTCGCGCACGAGATTGCCGGGTTATAGTAAGTGCGACGACGACGTATCGACATTTTAATAATATCGATGCATGTCTATTTATATGCCGTTATCAACCTACAATGTCTTTTTCTCATCACACTAAGCAGTATATTGTTTTAGTATTTTTCTGTAGGAAAATAATGTAACTATATTCTATTTATTTTGGTGTAGCAAAAATCTTTTAAAAAGAGTCAAAAATATTCTGAATTATTTCTAATTAGGTTGATTTAGTCACTACAGTACTAGTTACGGTAGCGTATGAGTAAACCCGTAGGCAGAAGCAAATTCATAATCATAATAGGTGAACCTTCGATAGATATTTAAGCCAAAGTTATAACAATCGCTTATCGATAAAACGTTCCATAATATAATAATGTCATCACGCATCTCTAGTCAGTTCGTGATGGCGATTCTGACATCACGTACTTAGGTCAAATAAAATCTTTAAAATATCCAATCTCTTATTAGACTTATACAACATATATATAATGATAAATCATAGAAAAAATATTTAGTAAGTTTACTGTTCGTCAATTTTTTAAACGCTTCAGTTTTAGGTAAATATGTTTCTGCCATTGTTCTTTCAAAAATAATTATATTTGTATCTTTTTTTAGCAATAAAAATTACAAACAAAAATATTTTGTCCATTTTGGTGTCACGTGCATATTCCCTATTGCAAGTATCGATGATGTTAAGATGCAGTAGTCACACAAAGTGTTGTCCCATGCGTTGATTGAACCCACAACACTCAGCGCAGTAGGAAGCGGCGAGGTGATCGCTTAAACCACTACGCCATCCATGTAGTCATAAAACGACTATAAAATGTAAATTTGCTCATACTAAAACCTGTTAAAAAAACTTTGACTGGCATTATTGAAATGTTATATTGCATTATTGAATTACATTTCGTCGTGGGCGAACCAACCCTAGGAAGAAACTACGTAATACCCTGGCGGACCCAGGTCGTCTACGACTTGTAGATGTGTAACTCGTATAATGGTCTCATTCCACTACCTAAAGGGCGCCTGGCCTGCGGAGACGGCGGAGCGGGACTCCAATACTTATTCACGGAAAGAAACGGAGTTCCACGTGCTCTTGTTCCGTACGATAGTCGCAATCATGGTACTAAACGAGAGAATTCAAACTCCGATGGCCGCCACAAAGTCACGTCTCTGCCCAACCCACGCCGGGGCACATCATCACATCATCACATCGGCCGGCCATCGCAGTGTTGATACCCAGGCGTTGGCTCCTTGTGGATGAGATACAGGTGATCCCCAAGGCATCCTTTCCCGGTGATCACCTGCAACAGCCAGTATGAGAGAGTCCGTGATGCCTTTCGAGCCAATCCTACATAACGGGTCTGCATGCAACAACCACGTACCCGGCGCTTGGTTGACCTTGTCGTTCCTTCCACTTCCCCACGAGGACCTGGCGGAGTTAAGATTTCTGATCCTCGATTTTTCGAGTACGTTTCCCGGCTACTGGTACTAACATTTAATGCACATCTACATGCGTCTAAAAATACTACAAGTTTTAAGTTACCAAGAACTAGTATACTTCTATTTAATGCTTTGGTTCGCAGTAAACTGAAATATTGCTCTCAAGTTTAGTCTCCACATTACGAATGTCACAAAAATCGTCTCGAACGAACACAACGAAGGTTCCTTAGTTATCTTACGCACAATACAGAATTACGCAGAACACTAAATTCAAATACTACCAAATATACACCAACGGTTGTCGATTTTTTGAGTGGAGACTACGTCTCGGCAAACGTAGTTTAGGACGCCTACAAGTCAGGTGGAGTGATTAATTGCTCAAGATGGGTATCAGAAGCTGGATGCGAGAAGCTCAAAATCGATCTAAATGGCATGCAATGGGAGATGCCTATGTCCAACAGTGGACTGCGATAGGCTGATAATGATGTACTAATTCAACCGCACTTATTCAAGGTGAAAAGCGACATAAGAATAAATAATTACGTCAAATATGTCAATGTCCGGTCACTGCAGTCGATCCGGGCATATTTGCTAAAGCATGAGTCAACTCGATTTTTTTACCAAACTTCCTTTTTAAATCAAGCTCTTATCTAGAAAAATATTATCGAATAGGATGTTATAATGTGAACAGGAAGGATTTGTCGGAGGATAATGTAATAATCATTTTCTTGATTAATCTACATATTATTATCAAAGAATTTTCATTCAAATTAAAATCAAATAATCTTCAGATAACAGATAATCTATTTATGAAGGTAGCTTTAATCGACATATAAATAGTGAGCCGTCGAAAGCAGTGCATAAGTGTTTATTTGCATTAGGAATTTTAAATTGTTACACTGTGCTGGCAATAAAATCCTATCATGAAAGGTAAGTAAAACTAACGAATAATAATTATATTTTATTAAGAATTCAAAGGAATACTTCACGAAACTATGGGTGTAATAAAATAACATTTTCAAAGAAATTCGATTTTTTACTTTGATTTCATATTTACACAAACAGCCGCAAGTTTTGTTGTTTTTATGTTAGAATTATTAAAATAGCTAAATCATCATTTTACGACTTCTCCGTATGTGAATTTAGGATACATTTTTATTTTCTTTAATACAGACAAAACTAAACAAAATTTAATTAATATTAATCTTAAAAAAATCTTCACAAAAGATATTATTAAGTTTTAACCATCGTTTTTAAATTGCATCTAATGAGTGTTGTAGTATAAATTGTTAATTAAAAATACTTTAAAAGGCTTTACAAAATGTAAAACAAATGTAAAACTTATTTGACTTTATTCTCATTAAATTTAAATAGATTGGATGTTTGAAGAGCATAGCATTTTGTATTTAATAAATATTATAAACGTCATGCACTTTTTAATTAGTAGGTACATTTAAAATAATATAATTAGTTAGACACTATTCATTTTATGTACTCAATGTCTTTTAATTTAAAACAGCTTATTATGATAATAAAATTTGAGAAATGTTTATAACTCAACTGCCCAGTGAAGTCTTTTAATTTCAGTTCCAATTCATTCATCGATCCTAAAACTTTCATTTATTTAAATAAAATAACGTTTTAATGTGTATAATATACACTGTGGCGGTATAGATATCACAAAAAATGAAATAACAGATAACACGGTTCAATATACGTCGGTTAAAATAAAAAAATAAAAAATTAGTACGAAAATACAGAAATGCAAATTTAGAACAAACTAAATACAATAAAATAATTTCCGAATTAGAACACCATTGATAACATGAGTCGGTGAACTGTACCTACACGGCAGCGTCGCAATGTCGGCGACATCAAAACGACGCCGCCGCCGCCGCCGCGAGCCGGCGAACTTTACATTCTTATTACCTACCTACCAATCACTTCACTTGCTTTTAAAAATCTATTTATAAAGAATGCGATTTTATTCACGTGTTTATTTCGTGAATGCTCGACTAGCTTCCGACCCAGCAGTACGCGTCACTCCTTGAAAAAGTAGTTACCTTGGTTGTCTCGTAATCTTTGTACCGCCCTTACAAAAATTCGGCAGTCTGTAGGACATACACGATTGACTCCATACGTGTCCGTAAAGCAAAAGATGCGTTTTGATAGAGTTTTCCATAAATTAACATCATAGCAGGATATTCTGCGGCTGTGAAGGTCACTCACGGCATTATGGATGTTGATATCGATAACCCAATAAAATTAAAAGACTGATAATGCACTCAGTTTCACACTACACTACACACAGAACCTAATAGTGACTTTTCAAAATAAAATTAGCAGGACTCCTTACATTACGAAGTCTTGCGCACACGATAACATTAATTGTTCACACCATTGCCGTGTATTATGACGAAAGCAATAAGACTAAACAATTATTACCACAAGAAAACTTCTCTAAACAAATATGTATCTCATAAACAACAACAATATTATTATTACGGTTATTTGTCGTGAGCGCATCTACAAGGATACGGAATAGCATAAGCTCGCCGGTGGCCAAGGGCCGACTGACTTTCCTTACTGGATGAACTAATTAAAAACGCGTGTTGCATCGTGATGACGTAATAATCAACATATTTCGTTCGATTCGGGTGTAGTAAAAGCGGCAACGTGTGATTACCGCGCCGCTGATCTATACCTACAGCTGATCGCCGCCTGAGGTCAATGTATTATGACTGCATGTACACATGATGTTGCAATTTACGAAACACAAAAATGAGTCCTGTAGCTAAACTACTGGATATATTTTGTTCATATTTTGCAAATCGCCTAGAAATTAAGGGTAGAATATGTGGCTTAAGTATTTGTGAAAGGAAATGAAACTCTCTGTATATTTATATTTACGTAATACTTTTTCAGGTGCAATATTTTCTGTGCTGTTCGTTGCTGTACTTGTTAATGGAGCTGCCGCAGCTGGTAATGATGATCCCAGCCAAGCTCCAAGAATTTGTGCCGCTACCAACGCTACCAACATCTTAGTAGCTCACGAAAATTGTAACCAGTTTTACAAGTGTTTAAATGGTGTTCCTACAACCAAATCCTGTCCATCTGATCTTTTGTTTGATCCCAGTAAAAACAGATGTGAATGGCCAAGTTCTGTGAATTGCGGTAACAGAATAATTCCTGTTAGAGATGAGTCACAGGGTGCCGCTGTTGTATGTGCTCTTCCTGGAGCAGACAACAGCTTTGTTGCTCATGAATTTTGTGATAAGTTTTACAAGTGTTTTGAAGGCAGACCGGTAGCTTTCTCTTGTGGTTTTGGTACCTTGTGGAATGCACAGGGGCAATACTGTGATTACGCAAGAAATGTAGACTGCGGCAACAGGAATATTTCTAGCATCAATGTACCACAATTCCCAGTCGGTAATAACCACGACGATCCTAGTCTAGCTCCGCAGATTTGTGCCGCTGCAAATTCTGCTAATGTGTTAGTAGCTCACGAAAATTGTAACATGTTTTACGTGTGTCTACATGGTGTACCACTACCACAAATATGTCAAGCTGGTCTTTTGTTTGACCCCAGTCGAGACAGATGTGAATGGCCCCGTAATGTAAATTGCAGGAATAGAAATTTATAATTATTATTATACAATAACTATTTTGTGATATGTTAAATACTTGGTTTTTATTTTATACTTACTTATTTAAATTGAAACATTAAAATGAATAGATTAAAACTACATTGGCTTATTATTTAAATAATTTTATATTTTTATTATATTTAGAATCAATTATTCTGTACTTATAGGCATAACAATTCATGCAAGGAAACACACAAAAGTAAGGAAGAACATGTAATGAAAGATCATGGCAATGTAAACTTTGACCCACCCGCCAAAATGCCGCTGAAAGATAAGACTACTGGCATTATACACACAATAACTGTGATTAGTTTTACCAGTACTTGTAGAATCCATCAGGAAGACTACTTTTGATGTCCCTTATAACATGTTGTGGTGATAGATTTTTAATCTAAATCTAAATTTTCGTTGTTAAATGTTGCAATATTTGTAATATGATTCTCTAAAAAGAAACATAATAAAATGGAAATTTGTATAATCCAGTATCCTAAAAGTTTGTGTAATGTGTCAAATAACATTTATTGCGTACGTTGTCTGGATACTCATTCCAATTGCCAAAAAAAAACAACCAGTAAATTATGTACCTATACCTGTTTTATTTGCTGTTAAACTCACTCATGAAGACTTGTTTGGTATCTGCTAGTGAAGTGGTGGTGAAGTTTGAAATAACACTATGTGAAGATATAAAAATGAATATTTTAAAAATAAATACTAAGCATTGATAGAAAACACGTTACAGCGCTTACAAAAGTATATACATTATTGTCCAACAATGAAGAGTCATTAACAACAATAACAAAACAGTAATTTCTTAGAAGAATTTTACAGTGATTTATACACTCATGACGTCATCTCCTAAGGGGTGTAATATGGGCGTATTAAACATCCATATTTTTCGACAATCATTTTTAATTTTTATTTTATTTATTTTGGATCGCCAACAAACGATACAAATTTCTACAATAATTATAAAATATTAAAAAACATGTCTTGTGCCCATTCAGTTATAAGTAAAACTTGTACCATTCTAAAATAAAAAAAGCAGGCATAATAACAGAAAAATATACAAGAACATGAAAACTGTTGGGTAAAAAAGAAGCTATTTTTTTTATCAAAACCACATATCACAGGCTATTCAAATCCAAACCTAGGTGAACTTTTGCTCCCCCAAGTTAAGAGATAGCAAGTGATTTTTTTTTTTAAATTAGGCAAACTATCTCCAAAAATGTCTAAATCTAACTAACGAGAAAGTTCGTTGTAAGACTTTGCCATTCTGGTTAATGGCGAATTAAGCTCTAGATTAGACTTTTATCCACGTGAACTGAACAGCCTATAGACACTTGAGCGCGGCAACTAACTGGGGGCTGAAAAAAGGGATTCTTGCCATTAGGACAGGACATTTAGGTTCAGGACAATCTATATTATTGTTTTGAATGTTGTATAAGAATGAAAGATCAAGAAGTTTGCGTATATCATTAAGTGACATTAAATTAAAGTGCTTCAAGCGAACATTATTTGAATTTAGTGTTCTGCAAAATTCTGTATTGTACGTAAGATAACTAAGGAACCTTCCTTGTGTTCGTTCGAGACGATTTTCGTGATACTCGTAATGTGGAGACTAAACTTAAGAGCAATATTCCAGTTTACTGCGGACCAAAGCATTAAATAGAAGTATCCTAGTTTTTGGTAACTTAAAACTTGTAGTATTTTTAGACGCATTAAGTATTATCCTATCTAGATGTGCATTAAATGTTAGTACCAGTAGCCGGAAAACCAGGACCAACCCTAGGAAGGAACTTCCTTATAACCTGGCGGACCCCAGGCCATCTACGGCTTGTAGATGTGTCACTCGTATAATGGTCTCATTTCACTACCTAAAGGGTGCCTCGCCTGCGGTCCCGCTCCGCCGTCTCCTTTGCAAGCATTACTTACTCACGGAAGGAAACGGAGTTCCACCTGCTCTTATTCCGTACGATAGTCGCAATCATGGTACTAAGCGAGAAAATTCAAACTCCGATGGCCGCCACAAAGTCATGTCTCTGCCCAACCCACGCCGGGGCACTTCATCACATCGGCCGGCCATCGCAGTGTTGATACCCAGGCATTGGCTCCTTGTGGATGAGATACAGGTGATCCCCAAAGCATCCTTTCCCGGTGATCACCTGCAACAGCCAGTATGAGAGAGTCCGTGATGCCTTTCGAGCCAATCCTACATAACGGGTCTGCATGCAACAACGACGTACCCGGCGCTTGGTTGACCATGTCGTTCCTTCCACTTCCCCACGACGACCTGGCGGAGTTAAGAATTCTGATCCAACCTAACTCCCGCGTCTCCGAACCACAGATACAGAGCTGGAGTCTCTCGACTCCAGGTTCCATGGGGCATACGCTTAAGAGCCCTCTCCTCGGTAAAGGCTCCAAACATGGTCCTCAGTGAGGTACATATATCATGATGTTTATTCCCCTGGCACTCTTCAGGCTGGTACCTGAAGTAAGGTTGAAGACCCATCCCAACTGAAAGTTCCAATCTCGAATTCCATCTCAGAAAATTACTAAGAAGTCTACATTCATGGACCACTACTGTTTTGTTTGATTGCCATTCAGGTTTGCATTGCCAAAATTAATTTTCCGAAAAAATTTTTTGAATTTTATAGATAAATGACACTCAGAAATGAACTAATGATCATGTTCATCACACGATTATTTGTCCTGGGTTTGAATAGAATCTACGACCTCCAGCTTACTAATCAACGTCACTAAGCACTAGACAGGGCCACCAAATTAAGGAATATTAAGTTTGGTTGTTAAGGTACTAGTATAAATTAAGACTTTGTTTCGTCATTAATTTAAAAATATCCAAATGATAGCAAAACCAAACTAATAGTGGTGGTACTGGAGCACATTAGCCAAGTGTGAAATTCGCGGGTAGACTAAAAACTAGTAAACTAAACGGAAGTATATGTATATCTATACAAATAAATAAAGTTGAAGTCTCTGCTTGTAATGTCAAAATAATAGGTTTTTTTCATACTCACACGATAATTTGCACGATATATATGCCTAAAAACCAGTTTAAATATTTTTTGTCTATCTGTCGGTCTGCCTGTCTGTCTGTTTGTTCCGGGTAAGTTTCAAAATGGCTGGACCGATATTGATATTTTACTACCAGGTAGCTGTCTATATAAGGAGTGTTTTTTTTACGCGTGGAAACATAATCGTCAATATCCTCTGAGAACGCCAAAGGCGCCCAAGGGCAGACGCAGTGCCAACCAGATTTGGAGCAAGCTGTCGGAAGTGCTCGTCGAAGAGTCACCTCCCATCGAGGATCAGCCCCAGAGACTTCATCTGGACCTGAACCGGTACGAGGACCGAGTTGACGACGTTTGAGGCGCCAGGGGGAGGACCACGACGGGGCCCATGAAATAAGAGGGCCTCGGGCTTGTCTAGGGCCACCTGTGAGCCCAGCGTCTCAATGCGCTCGACTACCAGAGAGACTCCCCTGGTGGCAAGGCATACCGCCTCTTGAAAGTTCACCCCCCGGGCTGTGACCAATGTATCATAGGCGTAACAAATTACACCCAGTCCGGGGGGAAAATCAGCTCTAAGGGCCCAGTCGTACCCTATGTTCCATAGGAGGAGTCCAAAAACAGATCCTTCGGAACACCGCACGACATGGGCCGACACTTCAGATTACCATCTCGGTCCTAGTACACGACGGTACCAGCTGCTTCAGGTACTCTGGCACCCCATGATAGTTGAGGGCTTCCCTGATGCAGCTGAAGGGCAGACTATTAAATGTGTTGGCTATGTCCAATAACACCGCCAACAGCACGCCGCCACAGATATAAGGGGTAACTTAGGCTATTTTTAACCGACTTCAAAAAGGAGGAGATTGTCAATTCATCAATGTTTATGATTTTTTTTTGGGAATTATTTTTTGTTTGAAAGGGGTTTATTCCAAAATGGTCCTTGATTTTGATGATTGTGAGTTTTGGAGACAGAAACGGAACTGTTCAAAAAATGACAGCAAATCAACCGTGATTGCTGCTAGGTTTTTAGTGTTCTTTGTTATTATTGTTAGAGGTCGGTTAAAAAAATATACCTGACCAAAAATGACCATTTCGGAATAAACCCCTTTCGAACAAAAAAATAATTTTGAAAATCTGTCCATATATGACGGAGTTATGTATGCATAATTTTTTCGGGTCGGGCAGTATATCAAATACCTCGGCCTCACCCCGGACAGCCGCTGGAGCTTCGAGGAGCATTTCGAGCAGATGATCCCCCGAGTTCGCTTGGTGGCGGGCTCCCTAGAGAGGCTATTGGCTATTCTAGGGGGTCCGCGGGAGCAAGTTCGCCGCCTCTACTGTGCGGTGATACGATCCATGCCCCTCTACGGTTGCCGATAAGCCAAGCGCCTATCGGCCTCCTCCCGCTGCCGAGCTTAGCTCAATTAAGCACAGCGGGTAGCGGCCATTAGGATCGTACGAGGTTACCGCACAATCTCGTCGGAGGCGGTGACAGTCCTGGCACGTTGCCCACCTTTTGATATCCTGACGGATATGGACGCAAGAGTTTATGACGTGACGTGTGTGTGACGTGAGGGTAGGGTAGACCAGGACAAGCTCGAAATGCGGCGAAGCTTGGATAGGTAGGGGGCAGGTCGCGTCACCTACCGACTGACGCAGATACTCACTGGGCGTGGTTGCTTCGGTGAGTACCTGAATCGGAATGGACGCGAGGAGACGGCATAGTACCAGCAGTGCAGAGCCGACTGGGACTCCGCCCAGCATACGCTGGAAGACTGCCCCGCATAGGCGTCTGAACGCGAGGTCCAGGTCTACCAAAGCGGGTGAGACCTGTCCCCGCCAGCAATCATTGCTGCCATGCTGGCGGGTGAGGAGGGATGGAGCGCAGTGGTCTCTTAGTGTGAAGCTGTAATGCTTCAGAAAGAGAGCGCTGAACGGAATCGGGAGAGGGCCGATCCCGAGCGTAGAGGACATCGACGGCGTTATCAGCCGTCGACGGTGCCGCAGGCTGCCAGAGAGTGGGGCCCTCTGGTGGCAGATTAACTGCTGCCGTAGGCGGTAGGATGGCGGCCTGGTTGCAAAAATGCGATCAGGCCGCAATATATTATCATAAGGATTGGCCGATAGGCGGGCGAAGCCTTCTTTGCCCTGGAAAAGGCCTGGCTAAGCGCGGCGTCGATCTGGGGTCTGAAATAACATGGTCCAGGTCCTCCTCGGAGTAGGGCGCCTAAGTCCGGCCGTCGGGGTGATTTTTAGTGTAAACACCACATACTCCTAGCTCCTACATCCCCAAGGAGCCGGAGATCCGAAGGGATTTTCCACCCAAAAAAAAGGCATAGATATCGTGCAAATAATCGTGTGAGCATGAAAAAAACCTATGAATTTGACATTACTAACAGATACTTCAATTTTATTTATTTGTATAGATTTATCACCAGCCTATAGCCGTTCACTGCGGACCGAAGGCCCCCTCCAAGAAGCGTCTACTGTAAGGGTCTTGAACAGTCCACATCCATCCGCTCATATTAGGTATAAAAGGAATTGGAATAAAACAATTAGTTGGATAACTAACTTGATTAATCAACTGAGTTTAAGCTCATGCTGTTTTGCTCTCCCGCCAGACCAACGAAATGTGCCTCCTTGCTTTCTTCGACAGAATTCATAAGTAGGTATGTTGATACTTACCGTTACTTGAGTACATTGTCTGTCAAAAAATCCTTAATTATACGTAACAATTACTCATCAATTATTATTATCCGGAGGTCGTGGGTTCGATTCCCACCCAGGACAAATATTGTGTGATGAGCACGGTCATTTGTTCTGTGTCTGGGTGTAATTTATCTATAATTTGTATGTATTTAGAAATATTTACGTATGTTTATCAGCGGTCTGGTTACCATAGTACAGGCTCTGCCTAGTTTGGGATCAGACGGCCGTATGTGAGTGTGTGAGATATATTATTATTATTATTTATTTATCACACAAATTGAAAATCAGCCTGTCTTCCGTTACATGTTCTTCCTCATTTTCGTCGCATTTTTAAATGAATTATTCTACGGGGCCAGAATAATTCATTTTAAATAAACTAGTAATAATAGTTTATTGTTAGTTTAACGACAAAAGGTAGGTGACAGGTAGAATGGCAAATGATAAAACGTAGTTTTAATCTATTACTTTTATTATTTCAATTTTAAATAAGTTAGTACAAAATTATAAATTGTGAGCCAAATATTTGACATATCATATAATCAATTATGGTGTAGTTATACATTTCTGTTCCTGCAATTTACATTACGGGGCCATTCACATCTGTCTCGACTGGGGTCAAACAAAAGACCAGCTTGACATATTTGTGGTAGTGGTACACCATGTAGACACACGTAAAACATGTTACAATTTTCGTGAGCTACTAACACGTTAGCAGAATTTGCAGCGGCACAAATCTGTGGAGCTAGACTAGGATCGTCGTGGTTGTTACCGACTGGGAATTGTGGTACATTAATGCCAGAAAGATTCCTATTGCCACAGTCTACGTTTCTTGCGTAATCACAGTATTGTTCCTTTGCGTTCCACAAGGTACCAAAACCACATGAGAAAGCTACGGGTCTTCCTTCAAAACACTTGTAAAACCTATCACAGAATTCGTGAGCAACAAAGCTGTTGTCTGCTCCTGGAAGAGCACATACAACAGCGGCACCCTGTGACTCATCTCTAACTGGAATTATTCTGTTACCGCAGTTCACAGAACTTGGCCATTCACATCTGTTTTTACTGGGATCAAACAAAAGATCAGATGGACAGGATTTGGTTGTAGGAACACCATTTAAGCACTTGTAAAACTGGTTACAATTTTCATGAGCTACTAAGACGTTGGTAGCGTTGGTAGCGGCACAAATTCTTGGAGCTTGGCTGGGATCATCATTCCCAGCTGCGGCTGCTCCATGAACAAGTACAGCAACGAACAGCACAGAAAATATTGCTCCTGAAAAGTATAACATTCCTATAAATATATGTTAGAAACTTTAGAATGGCATGTTGGCGGACAACGATTATTAAATTCAAACTGGAATTTAAAGTTAAGTTGAAAAGTACTGGGCAGTTAAAATTAAAATAAATTACACAATTACAATTTTTATATCAAGCTGTTTTAGCTTTAAATACATTGTATTATTTCTTAAAATATAAACACAAAACTACATATCACTTTAAATATATTTATGTAAAAGATAAATGGCGTAGGTTTTGTTTCAGTAATATAAACTGTATGCTCTAAATGTACTAAGACATCTACTCGTATGTATGTTAATTTTCAAGCATCAAACTGTTTAACGGACTATGCAATAAGTTTGTCAAATCAGTTCAGTTGTATTAATATTTGTAAAGACGTTTAAAATGTTTTTAAGCGACCTCAAAAAGGTAGGTGCTCAATTCGGTGGAATTTTTATTGTTTTTTTCTTCGAACTCCATCAGTAATAAACTGATTTCCGAACCAACAACATATTTAGAGTTCTTAGTCTCATTTTATCCAATTCAATTTTGAAGAAAAAAAACACCACCGCGCAAGTGAAAAATTAAAGAGTGAAGAATAGAGTTATTACCTACAATTAATAAAGAAGTATAAATATTCACGATGATGAAACTTTTGTTACACTTAATTATTATAGACCAATTTACACCACAGTTGTTGTGATTGCATACAATTTAAAATGGATTCAGTGTTTAAAGTTTAATTTTTCTAAATCCACAAATAATAGAAATTTACATTAACACGAAATCAAACTATAAAATTCTAGTTTCTATTAAATTAACCTATTTAATCCTTATCCTTTTTTGAATAATTAATACAAAGTATTTGAAATTTGAAATTTCCTTGACTTACCTTTCATTATAAGATTGTGTTGTCAGCGCTATGTATCAAATTGATACTTTAAAAAAAACACTGACGCACTGCTTACGACTACTCACTATTTATATGCCAATATAGCTACTTTTGTAAACAGATTATCTAAACAAGATTATTTGAACATTGATTTTCAATTATTAATCTGCAAAGTACACTTTGAATTAAAAATTAAAATTAATATGATTATCATATGGCCACGCAGTTATTTTACATAGAGAAATTTTATTATTTACATTTGGAAATAAATAATGAATGTTTTTTTAAACATTTCGTCAGTAAGAAAAATAATAAAATAAAATATAAATAAGTAATAGTGCAATCGATTCATTTGATCAAATGGCAGCGTCGATTTGATTGGTGATTAAGTTTAATTTACTAATAACTTGGTGAAGATTAGTGGCTAAAATTTATAATTAAAATTTACTGCATTCCTCAGTATTAAACGATGTGCCAAACTAAATGTCTTACACGTGTTACACAATATGTACTTGAGTTTTATTGCAATAGGTGTGATCAATAAGAAGACGTATGTCTGAATTCTATAACTTCTTGATTGATATTCAATATCAACTTCAGTATCTCTGCTCTCGCTTTCCCCGTCACTTTATTGTTCCTTAACCTAAATTCATAAGGACTTTGCACATGATGACAATAAGTTCATTAACCTTAAGTTAGGGGTAAGATGCGCCCATGGGCCCCGCCGCTGACCCGATCTCTTTAGCCAGAGCTGCTTGAAAGGGCTCCGTCTCCGGTGCCTGAGGCGCCTAACGTGGATGACGACGAAGTGCCTGAGGTCACTTGGGTAGAAAGGAGCTGGTGATGCGACTCCTTAAAGCTGTGGGACCTGGAGGCAAGAGCCCTTGCTGCTCTGTATCAGTGGCGCAACGAGGAGCGGGATCTGGGTCGGAGTCCTGACTCTCGAGAAATCGAGGATCAGAAATCCCAACTCCGCAAGGTCCTCGTGGAGGAGAGGAGAGAACGCCGTTATCGCAGCGGTAAGACACGTTATGGAGGATTGGCTCCAGAGGCATCAAGAAACCCTTTCATACCGGCTGACGTAACTGAGCACCGAAAAAGGATGCTTCGGAGATCATCTGTATCTGATCCGCAAGGAGCCAATCCTGCGATGGCCGGGCACTGGACAGTTTGGTGGTGGCATTCTCTCGCTCGGTCACATGATTGCCGCCATGACACGGAGCGAGAGTGCGTTTAACTCCGCGCTCTCCTTCTGCGAGCAGGTTATGCTTGCAGGTCGCAGAACGCCCTCCGTTCTCAGTAAGCCCAGGCCTGAGGGTGACAGGTGAGGCCATCTGACACTCTAGCAGAAGCAGGTCGGGGTGAGTAATTCAGTGGCAGGCAGGCAACATCTTGGTTCCCACACATGAGGTTATCACCTATAAGCCGTAGATGGCCCGAGATACGTCAGGGTACCCTGGCTACTGGTACCTGTAAACGGCGTGCGGTTTTTGATCTCTACGAGTCCGACATAATCACCCACTGGCGGGTGACAGCCGCGGGGAGTTCCGAGAAAAAATACAGTTGTGCGCAATGCCGTGGTATTGCTCCGGTCTAGCCATCTCATTTGTGTCGACGAATGGCTCTTCCACTGTTATATTACTTCTATGAATATCCATATGAGCTATTCAGTAATTTAATTTTATAACACGCATTCAAAGTTATGTTAGTCAGGCACATGAACACCTGATTTGACATTCATTTCCACATGCTTTTTTTTTCATAAACCTTTACTTTCCAATTCTATAGCATTCAATTCTCAGTATTATGGTCGCAATTGAAGAATCTGAGAGACAGAGAGATAATAAATATTCATATTTAAGAAAAACATTACAAGAATATTAATGACAGACAGTTTATTAGTTACGATTACAGAATTAATGGAACAATACCTAATTATTTCGTAAAAATAAAGGTTTATAATTTGTTTTTATTATTTTACCATCCATTGGTAAATAGTGTAAACAGAGTTAACTCGCACTTTCTAGATTCGCATTTTTTTATCTTTTGACTATTTGATATCAGTATCTCCATCTTAGCGATAGGACAATGATCCTGACGATGAATGCAGGTCGAATTTAACACTTTTTTTTTATTCGTGGAAGCTCCCTCCATGTGTGTTGGTATCATCATCATCATCATCATCATCAACAGCCTTTAAAAGTCCACTGCTGGACATAGGCCTCTCCTTAGAAAGGAGGTTTTGGCCTACTATACCACGCTGGCCAGACGGGTTGGTATAGGGATTGTGTGTTGGTATCGGACCGACAAAAACCACGTGGTGTGCCACTCTGCGCCTGTACTAGGAGAGATCCGGGAATTGCTATTATTAAGACATCCGGACCCCTATTAGCTAATGCCCGCAAAGGCGCGGGGACCATCTTCGATTACATTCTCTATTTAGGCGTCGTCCGGCACACGCGGACGTCGCCTCCTCACGGCTGGCAGTTATGGCAGGTGGAGAGAAAAACCCATCCAGTCCACCCGCGGCACACTGTCCGCGGTGAAATATCTGTTATTACCAGCCATGAAGCGTATGATGATAGGTAGCGAGAGATTACCTCCGATGACTGTAATTAACACCCAAAACTTAACCGTCCGCCGATATACTTCGGCGAGCACTTCCTCCTCCAAATTTCAAGGGGGTGTTCCGGCCAACGTGCACGCCGCCTCTGTCAACATGATGCCGAACCGCGTATGGCTCTAATGGCGCCAATATGCTCGGAGGTCGCCAGAAGCGTGCCCTATTCTGGGCGGTCTAAGCTGGACAACCCCCGTGTACCGTCTTGTCGCGACGCTGGCTTCACCAAAATTGGGCAAAAGTTGCCCTAGGGCAGAAGCAGCACCAACTAGCTTTGGAGCAAGCTGTCAGTAGTGCTCGTCGAAGAGCCACCTCCCGTCGAGAATCAGGCCCAGATGAAGTATCCCGAGGACCGGTTCGAGGACCGAATCGATCACGATGGAGGCGCCTGGGGGCGGACCACGACGGGGCCCGTGAAACAAGAGGGCCTCTGCCTTATCCAGAATTTAACAGGCAACCTATATTAAGCTGCAGTTAGGCCATCTGAACTTCTTTGTTGAACATTCGACGCTGCGCTTTCGGATTTGTGATCTCTACTGCAGAACCTTTTATCTCTATCTATTCTTCGTGCAATCATTATTTCATTGTGTAATAATGATGACATACCTATAATATGTTATCACTGGTTAAATACATTGCTTCCTCGCTGTTAAACACTGAGAATTTTTTGTCGAATGTTCTATAGGCTACCCATACAAGTTACATTCAACGCTTGACCTCCATTGAAGATTCACATACATACCTGATTAGACTGTTTGTTCTAGGTTAACGACAACTGACTTCTGAACTATAATGAGGTTAAGCACAAGAGGACCGTTAAACATAATCCTCATCTTATCCGAGTTTATTTAAAGGCCCACCTTTTTATTGTGTATATATAATAGATATCTATTGAGGTCACCAAGTGAGGTTCCGGGTGGTGACGGATTAAGAACACGGTATAAAATGTCCTTCATCAGGTGGGTATCGTAAGAGCCAAGTAAGGGAGATAACTACGCAGGGTTACAGAACTGTAAAGCAAAGAAAAACTTGAAACAAACGCTATACCGACCCGTTTGGCCAGAGTGGCCAAAACCTCCTTTCTAAATAAAATTACTATGTTCAGCAGAAGACTGGACTGATTTGTGTCTGAGGTCACCAGACATCGTAATGTAATCCTCTATAGATCCAAGAATGATGTTAAGATCCTCTATACTATACTATACAGGTAGAGATAGTAGAGATAGCAGAGTCTATAGAGATTATACACGATATCGTGGTGATAGCAGAGATTGGCAAACCAAATATGAGTGATATTTTATTTGTTAATATTAATGGTCGGCCTTTCTAACACTACAGCTTGACACTTAATACCTCATGGGCGGTTTCTTAGAGTGATAGAGATCTAAAAATCATTTAAAGATTTAGCCAAGTATTAAGAATCGACGTAACACCCATTTTCAGAAACTAGGATGTGATACCGTCGGCAGAGTTTTAAGTTAAAGTTTGGAGATCTAAGAGCCAAACTGACAGCAAACAGATAGAACACTAACCTAGGATGGTGTTCTATCTGGTTTCATATGACATCCTACTTAGGCTCAATGGTGCGGAGCGGGTTGTCCTCGTTTATTCTAAAGCAATTCATAAATTCATGATCATAAGTAAATTCTTGTATTTTTTTCAAGTTTCATATTTCGGCATAAAAGTAAAAAAATAAAGCACATGATTTCTGATTGTCACTGCACTTGATATTGCGTCACAAAGTTTTAAATCTCATAATTATTGTTATATCATTTTTGGGAAATCAATTTACAAAGGCTGATTATCTAAGCAAGATAAATTGCATATTTCGGATTATATTGTTTAGATAATGTATTAAGAAGATAACTTCTATGAATTATCAAATGCAATTCATCAGTTTCTATTTTTAACTAAAAAATGAAATTGATATACGGAGCTGATAAATATATTTTTAAGATGAAGCCGTGCATTACACCCTTAAGATATGCGATACGCAGTTTTCCTTTACCTGAATTTAACACCATATTCTACAAAAAAAAATACAATTTAATTTAGTTTTTTTTGAATAGTTTACACGGGTATTGTCGCTTATGTCTCTATGGCCTCGATGACTTAGCTTTACTTCTATACGTACTATTATTTTTCCTACAACGATAGGCAGTGCAATTATTTATAATATTCTACTTTTTAAGTATATTGCAGTGATCCATTATATTTTTGATATCTATATTTTGTTTCTCATCTCCTAAATAAAGCACTGTAAGTATAGAAATTATAACTCTGTGCTCGCTCTGTTTGTGCTTATCATATAGGACACTAGTAGTAACTATAACATGCTATAGGCTTTTAGTCTGACAACTCTTTAAAGAAACCCGTGCTACTGACAGTTGCACCAATCTCCTTTTGTTCCAAAACTCCTAATTCATCCTCATCATCAACAGCCTTTAATAGTACACTGCTGGACATAGGCCTCTCCTTAGAAAGGAGGTTTTGGCCTACTATACCACGGTGGCCAGACGGGTTGGTATAGGGTTTGTTTCAAGTTTTCCTTCTTTTTGCAGTGCTGTTGTCCTAGGTAGCTTGCTCCCTTAATCGGCTCTTACGACACCCACGGGATGAATAGGGGTGGTGAAACTCCGTATTCTTAATCCGTCACCACACAGACAATTAATAATAATACATATATGGCCTCTGTTTTCGTACTGAAACGTGTGATAAGATTTTTTACTTTTATTGATTTTTACTGTCAATTATTTGAATACCTACTTATAACATCGTTTTATTATATTTTTACTATTTAATAGACTTATAACATCACAGACTATTAAATAGTAAAACGAAGGTTATTCTTTTATAAATCTTATTATATTACATACTCTTAAATTATAACGACACATTATCCCACATATAATTTCTATCTGTTATCACGCACAATATGGTATCCTTCAAAGGATCTTATCTCACTTATCTTCTTTTCGTGGAAACCAACTGTATGTCCGCATTGATAAATTATCACTAACGTTGCACCATATCGCATTCTATCTACTATATTATTTTAAACGCTTATCAATCTTATTACTTTCGATTTTAAGTATGCGTATCATTTATTTCTGGCCGGCCTTAAAATTGAATGCCAACCAAAATGTATAGTTCCGAAAGAGTATTACACAATTTACGCAGTGATTTGGAGATTATCAAGCGCTGCTTTAGGAGTTATATAATTATATACACCTACGGAAATTAATGCAATCATGCAATGTGAATTAACATAGTGTAGTGTGTTTCAGTTTGTCCATTTCCATAGTTTTTCCAGTTATTATTATTATTTTATATCAGTCAGAAATTCAGGAGAACCTGCAATAACCCTATTGATTTAAGAACTTTCTCCCTCCCAGATCAATGCTTATTCAAGCCTTGATCAGCTGAATCATATAAGAAAGTTCGGAGCGGATATTGCAACATAGACCACATCCACACAGTGCGGTAGATTATACAGAAGACCGGAAAATATTATCAGCCCCTGTGTCTAGTATTCGTGGACTATGAGAAAGCCTTTGACTCGATCGAGATCTGGTCAGTTCTGGAGTCCCTGCAGCGTTGCCAAGTAGATTGGTGATACATCCAAGTAATGAAATGTCTCTACGAATCTCTACGCCACCATGTCAGTCCAAGTACAGAATTAGCAAACAAGGCCCATACCGTTTCTTGTTAGGAGTTATATAGTTAGTGAGACAAAGGAACGTTATTTCCCCGAATTTATTCACAAATGCAATGGAGGACATGTTCAAGACGCTGCACTGGAAAAGGCGTGGCGTCACTTGCGATTCGCAGACGACATCGCATCGCATGGCAGAGACGCTGCAGGACCTACAGCAGATGCTGAATGACCTAGCTGACTCTTCTGTACGCATCGGCCTATGGATGAACTTGGATAAAACCAATGTTCAACGAACATGTACTACCGGAACCGATTGCAGTACATGGTGCCGATCTCGAAGTTGTTCAAAATTATGTGTACCTCGGGCAGACATTGCAGTTAGGTAGAAACAACTTCGAGGACGAGCTGAACAGAAGAATTCAGTTGGGTTGCGTTGGGAAGCTACGTCGAGTCTTCTCATTGTCGATTCCACAGTGCTTTAAGTCGAAAGTCTTCAATAAGTGCGGACGCACTTATTGAAGACTACCGTCATGACATGAGCCGAGCCGAAAACGAGCCGAAACGTGAACACTTACGGTACGGCTGGTCCACAACTTCAAAGTCGCTCAACGTGCTATGGAACGGGCTATGCTGTATGTCACCGACATAGCCTACGGGATAAGCAAGCTGAAGTGGCAGTGGCCTGGCCATGTTAGCCGCAGAACCGACAACCATTGTCGAAAACGAGTTCTTGAGTGGAGACCGCGTCTCGGCAAACGTAGTTTAGGACACCCACAGGCCAGGTGGATTGACGATTTGCTCAAGATGGCTGGATGCGAGAAGCCGAAAATAGATCTAAGTGGCGTGCATTGGGAGAGGCCTATGTCTAGTAGTGGACTGCGATAGGCTGATGATGATGATGATGATGACTACCCTGACCTGCTGATACATGCAATTCTAGAGACAGAATTGCAGTCTTTGAATGCTCCCTCTTCTCAGGAGGGGGCTAGGAATTAGGTTTTTGGTTTGATAAAGAAATGCTTAACACCGGTTTTCGGTATAGCCGTGGTATCACCCTAGTCGAGCCGCCACATATGTTTAAGATAAGAGTATTTCTTGAAATATCTATATCCAGCACAAGTATTTTTTTAAGTACTTTGCAATTTAGGATTCATTTAAGTGCAACGTCTGAGTATCGGATAAGGAACTAATTTTATTCGATAATTTGTAAAATTGTTACACAGTATACATATATATTTTAATACACTATTGTAGAATAATAAGAACCGCCACATGATATAGCAGAAGGCCTTTAAGAACTATATATTTAACACATTAAAATTCTCTTTATCGTACATTAAATCCTTTTCTTGTTTACATCGACAGTTTTAAGGAATATAAAGTGTCAGGTTTCTAATAAAACGGGACTTCCAGTATCAACCTAGATATTATCGATAAATAGGTGTTAAATGATACTGGTGTTTATATTGTCAAATCAAAGAAACGTCATATGAATATTTAAGAAGTATCATGTTGCTAGGGTTGGCAATGCACAAACTCTTTTAATATTCCTCAACTTCTTGTGTTTTTTTGTCAATAAGGTATGGATGGAAAGATTTTGTGGCATGTGATAAAGCGATTCTAACTGATTCTTTCCTGTATATCCATATCTAAGGTGTCCTTGTTTTTTATATAATAGGTTTTTACCTAGGTAGTTTGAAAATTTTAAAACCAGTATTATCAGATTTAAAGAAAGCCATGTTCTTTTAATTGAAAATTTAATTATTTTTTTAGATAGTGTTTTGTTTTTTGAGATTATGGTAGTTTTTATCGCCGTGGATAAACTGAAAATTCCTATAATTTTCGAATATGAGTTGAACACGGAACATTAATGGTGTGTATGAGCTTACCACTGTTTGCATAAATACGGTCCATTATTGGTTTAATCGTTTAAGATCTGGTATAGTATATTACTATCTGGTATAGTGTATTATTAAAAAAATGTATAGATCATTTGGGCCAGTACTTTGACTAGCTAAAATAAAGGAATAACCAAAAATTTTAACGTTTTAAAATTTTCATAGAAATCATATTGGTATAAAACACTGATTGAGAATGAATGCACCAAAGCCGTAGGAACTGCTTAATACTCATATAAATTTTCAGTATCAAGTAAATATTGAAAATATTGAAAATTTGATTTACTTGTAAATAGTACACGGAATTTTTCAATATATTAGTCCTCATGTTTTGTGTGATTCCTTTTATGATTGAATCCCATTATAAAATAAGTAATATCAGTATGATTATGATCTGATCATAAATAAAGCGGGTAAAATTATTTGTTTCTTGATTGTTAGGTTGTATAGTTAGTTTAGATAATTTTTTTATGTATTCATGAAGTTGTATTTCACCAGCCCTAGAGTAATAAGTAGTCCTCTAGGATATAAATGCAGAAGCTATAAGTTTTCGTGCCTATTAGTATTTTTTACTTCTTTAGAGCTCTATTATAAAAAAGATTGACATTTAAACGTAATTTTACTTTTAAGTTGCTTATTACGTCTATTTCTTCATTACTATCACTGAAATCTTACAATAAACCTTAACTTTAATCAGAAATAAAGAATGGATCTCCCTCCATACGATAAGTTTTTGAAACTATTGAAAGCAACTATGTGGCTAGAAGGAACTGCTTACGGCAATCCTAAAATAGAGAAAAGATTTTACATCATCGCGTGTATAGTATCAATAATGGTTTCCTCAGAAGCTGCTTTCTTTTTCTTAAATATGTCTTCAGAAAACTTTATTGAGTTAGCGCAATCAGCTCCATGTATATGTAATGGAGTATTATCAATTTCAAAAGGAATCCAAATAGGCGCAAAACGACACAAAATTTTTCAGTTAAGTGAAAGTCTGCGAAAGCTTTACGATCTTATTTTAGTTGATCCTAAAAAAAGACAACTTGTGAGGCGTGATTTAGTTGTGATAAGTATGTTACTAAAACCATATTTTGTTCTAAATGTAATACTTATTAGTATTTATAACTTTTCAACATTAGGTGATATGATATATCACTACTTAACAACGAATGAAATAACATTAATGTTACCATTCTTTGCATGGAAGCCATTTGCTACCGACACGTTTTTGCCTTGGTTTCTATATTATTCGTACTCCGCTTTCTGTGGTAAGTGAAACTGTCAATATTTACTACAGTTTTTTTTTTTTTGTATAATATGATCAAATTTTTATTTCTAGGTTTTGTAGCTGTGATATATTATACAACTGCTGATGGTTTCTACGTCGTATTGTCTTCACAAATTTGCGCAAATTTCTGCGTTATCAGTGATATGATTGAAAATTTAGATGCAACCAATATCGACACATTAAATGATATTGTAAAAGCTCATCAAAACATTTTAAAGTAGGTAAATTGCTACGAGTAGTTGACATTTTAAAATAACACGTTGATATTTAAAAATAAACAATGTTATCGTTGTTTGTTTTATAATGTCAACTAGCGTAATTAACTTGAGAGTGGTAAAAGAATATGTACTATTATTATTCTAATATTTCGTAAAATGAAGGGCTGAAATAAATGAAACTATGGGGACATGTTTGTTAAATAGAAAATGTTAGTGAATTGGTTAATTTGTGCAAAAAATCAAAGTAATGTAACTATTCACATTAATATGAAAATCTATATGCTATATATTATATATAAAATTCTCGTGTCACAATGTTACTTACTATACCCCTCCGAAACGGCTACACCGATTTTTATAAAATACCCCGAAATAATAAGGGTGACCCGACCCACCCCTAAACAACGTTTGCCGGGTCAGGTTTGTATATGTATCATGTATATATGTATCATGTATATATGTATATATATAATATATATATATATATATATATATATATATATATATACGAGGCATGCCTTTTAAGTTTTGTCGTTTGAAGAAAAAAACACAACTAGAACCTTATAGTACTTTTTATTGTTTTTCAAAGTATTCACTACGTAGCTTAATACACTTTTCCATTCGCTCAAACCAGTTATCATAACATTTATTCCACTCTAAAGTGGGGGTGTTCAAAATGGCTGACTTGAAAGCGTCAACTGCTTCTTCACCGGACTGGAACCTTTGACCACGAAGACTTTTCTTAATTTTAGGAAATGTAAAGAAATCGTTAGGGCTTAGGTCAGGACTGTATGGAAGATGGTCAAGAATTTCTACTTTTTCCTGCTTCAAATACTCAATCGCTTGACGAGCACTGTGTGAGCTTGCGTTGTCGTGGTGTGTCTTTGAGTTAGATTTTCGAAGTTTGGCGATGACTTGTGGTAAACAAACTGTGGTATACCACTCTGCGTTAACCGTTCTACGATCTTCAAGTGCAATAGTCGCAACATGACCGGTTTTTCCAACGAACGTCGCCACCATCTTCTTTGAAGTGCTTCGAGAACGAACAACTTTAGTCGGCTTTGGCTCGTCTTGAAAAAGCCAGATTGTAGATTGTTGTTTGGAATCAGGATCGTAGGCATAGATCCAAGATTCGGCACCACTGATAATGTCGTAGACGTGATTTGACTCTCCCCACCACTGATAATGTCGTAGACTTGATTTTGGGCGTCCTTCGCGAGATTTGTCACTAACACTAGTATATCCACGGTGGAATTCTAAATACCAGCGTTCGACAGTCCGCAGACATGGGGCTTCATCACTGAACACAGACCTCCTCTAAAGGCCTTTTTAAAGTTATAGAAAATTATTGCACGAACATTTTCCTTAGAAAGATTCATTTTCGTACATAACCTGACAGATCCCAATCGACGCTGTGACTAAACAATAGCATTAATCCTAATACTTTCAACTGTCTTAAGATTCAAAATTTTAACACATTCGAAGGAAGAACAGTTCCAAATTCAAAATTTCCCGGAAATATCGAAACGACAGAACTTAAAAAGCATGCCTAGTATATACGTAATTGACACTATAAGCGCAACTCCAGTTTTATCATGTTAATTTACTTTTTGTCCACTAATTCAACTCTCTTCTCTACTCTTATAAATGTAAATATAATTTATACTTTGGATTTCAAGATATCCGTGCGATGACGGATTAAGAATACGGAGAGTCACCACCCTTGTTCATCCCGTGGGTGTCGCAAAAGCCGACTAAGGGAGCAAACTACTCAAGACAACAGCACTGCAAAGAGATGGAAAACTTGAAACAAACCCTATAAGAACCCGTCTGGCGAGCGTGGTATGCTAGGCCAAAACCTCCTCTTTAAGGAAAGGCCTATATCCAGCAGTGGACTAGCAAAGGCTGTTGATATTTCCAACAGTCTTTAGTAGTCTACTATAATAGATTTCAAATGTTACACAGGAACTTACAATACACTAATTTTTAAATGCCGAAAGTAAAACATAATCCTGTAGATGATTTGTAAGCTATACTTTGGTATCAGAAACTATAACCTTCGAAGCATCATCACTCATATTTAAGAAAAATATAGAAGTATATTCTCGATTGTCGTACATTGGTGGAACTTGTTGAAATACATTATGAAATCAAACTCACTTGTATATCATTGAGAGAGATATTGAAGTAGGTAATTTTAAGCAAAAGCCAGATTTTTTTAAATAATACAGTCATATTATAATTATTTCAGGCTCAGCGATGATTTGGAAGATATTTTCATGGTGCCTAATCTGTTTAATATGTTGACGGGAGCACTGCAAATATGTGCACTTGGATTAAATATACTGGTAAATTATTTCAATGTTATGAGACACAATGTATAACTTCAGACAATAATCAGCCATCAGACTTTTAGAAATCTGAAGATTACGTCTTGGTTATACCTTATTAATATTTAAAAATCTGTGCGTTTTATCAGCATGTTTTTCGTACTTACAGCAAACCCTTAGTCTCATCAACCCTGTCTAGCTATATTTTTGAAGTGGTCATTTTATTTTATGTTTACCCTTTATAATTTTTAAAGAAAACGAACAAGAATGGGTGCTTTTCTAGGAAGTAATAAGAAATTGATTAAAAAATGTACTTCATCATCATCATCAACAGCCTATAAATTATTTTGTGCATGACTGTATAATCTTACGCTTACCAGTTTACGCATACATTGATAGTTTTTTAATTATCAAAAAAAATACCTTATCATTTTAGTTAAAATATTAGGTCCTTACATATGAAATTAGCGTTTTGTCGTACTAACCACTTTACGTACATTTACGAGTACGAGTTCTACCGCGGCACCAGCGCTGCAGAAACAGCGTCGAGCTTAGGATTAATGATGTGTACGGCGCTGGTGTCGCAAAAGAAAGCACGGTGCGTTTTTGGTTTCAACGTTTTCGTTCTGGAAATTTCGACCTTCAGAACCAACCCCGGCTGGAGCCCAAGTTGGAAAATGAAGAATTAAAGGCTATTGTGAAAGCGGATCAATCACAAAGCACTTATGAGATAGCTGCAGGCTTCGAGGTAAGTGATCAAACTGTATTAATCCACTTGAAGCAAATCAGGCAAGTAAAAAAACTTGAACGGTGGGTACCTCATGAATTGAATGAATCGAACTTGCAAACACGCGTCGACTGCTGTGTACTTCAACCGACACAATAATGAAGGCTTTTAAATCAAATCATTACTTACTTGTGATGAAAAGTGGATATTGTAAGATAATCGGAAGCGCTCGTCGCAATGGCTGAACCCTGGAGACCTACCGGCACCAGCAAATCTGGCAGGATTTTTGTGGGTCTCTAGGGTCCCAAACGGAAATTGACTCAGAAAAAGTTACTTGTGAATGTTTGGCGGATTACCGCCGGTGTGGTTCACTACAGCTTTCTAAAATCTGGTCCAACGATTACGTCAGATATCTATTGTCAGCAACTGCAAACCATGAAGGAAGAACTAGCTGCTAAACAACCGAGATTGGTCAATCGCTCTAGGCTACTGCTGCTTCACGACAACACAAGACCACACACTGAACAACAAACAACCACTAAGTTAGATGAGCTACAATTGGAATGTCTGCGATAGCCACCGTACTCCCCGGACCTTGCTCCGACGGATTACCATTTTTTCCGGAATTTAGACAACTTCTTACAAGGAAAAAAATTCAACTCCGATGCGGCAGTCCAAACCGTCTTCAAAGAGTTTATTGATTCTCGCCCCATGGTTTTTTTTAAGTAAAGGGATCAATGAACTACCTATGAGATGGCAAAATTGCATAGATAACAACAGTGCATACTTTGATTAATTAAATATATTTTACAAAAAAAAATTGAATTTATATTCCACCGGAACAAAACGCCATATCATTTCATATGTAAGGACCTTATAATTAATTTGTATCCGTGTTATGTTTGTTTGTAAAGTCTCCCGCGACGCAGGACATATTCCTAATGTGGGAGTAGTCTATAAAAAACAAAAAAAAACTTTTTAGGGTTCATCCATTTTGTACCAATTACAATGAATATGGTGACACTCCGTATTCTTAATCCGTTACCACACGGACACCGTGTCGTACTGAGAATGCTTACTGCATTTCTTCTTCATATTTTAAACTTGAAGAAAGCATTCACATTTAATTTTCACATTCGCATTTCTTCGTTAGCAAAATTTTCTTCAAAACATCAATATATAACTTTAATTTTCAAAAAACTATTTACTGTTACTTTTCTTTTTCAGATAGGTCCCTGGGAAGAGATTCCAGGCTGCCTACTATTTTTGGTTTCCGTCCTTATGCAGATTCTAATGATGAGCATCTTTGGAGAAAATATTATAAGAGATGTAAGTAGCGTTGGTATAAACTTAATCAGTTATCCTTTCTTTGATTACTGTAGTATATTGGGGCGTTATGTTACTCCACATCTTATCATAATTATAACATATGTACTTCTCATATTTTAAAAATGACAATACCTATGTGTTTAAATTATAATTCCAAGTGAAGAAACATATAAATATTGTCAAACAATAAATACATTTTAGCAACATGTGGGCTTTGTCATTTAGTAATTAGTATTTTTATAAGCCCTAGTTTTTTTTAGTTAAACTTGTGTTTTTATAGTTAAACTTATAAAAATATCATTTAAGTATAACAAGAATTGAAAAATATATTGTTACTAGTTTATCATAATTAGTGTGTCTTTACCATCCTTGAATATTTCATTTTGTTGTAAGCTCCTGAAAATTTAAAACTTAATGTGTATGAATTCAGAGTACGAAAGTTGGTGATGCAGCTTACCGGTGTAGTTGGTATAATATGGATTCTAAATCTAGAAAAACGATTCTGTATGTAATGATAAGGTAAGAGAAACATGCAATATTTTAACGTTTAATTTTAATAATTCTAGCCTAGTGGTTGGGGCATTGGACTTGCGATCAAGAGATCGTGGGTTCAAATCCTTAACAGTACACTACCGACGTGAAAGACGATTTCAAACAATTTTGATAATTTTATGAAATAAAGAGAGTTTGAGTTTGAACCCACTCCTAACACAAGTAATTAAGCTTAGCGGGCGGGGTTAATGAGAATACTAGTAATTTCGTTTGCTAGTAGACTTTAAAAAACATTGAAGTCTTAAAGAATTAACAATAAATAAACTATCGTAGATCAAGGTCAAGTAGAGATAACAATACTGCTTACTATGTTCCGAAAAGAAGATATGTTTTGTACCAATGTATCTATCTATTTGAATGAACAGTTCAACCTGTGACCTTTCAATACCAGACAACATTACATTTGTTTCAAATAAATACATTAATAAAGTCGATATTGTACGTGATGTGAACTAAAAGAGAGACGTAATTGTTACCTCAACTCAAACCATCTCAATTATTTTGATGATTGGTAAAACCATGTTAATATTATCAGTAAATTAGAAACTTTTACAAGAAATTTCAAAATCCAAAAATCCAAGCAGTTCAATCAAAGTTTATGAATACTAGTAGTTATTATTATTGTAGTAGTTATCATTATTACTATTGCTATCCCTTGCTATAGTACAATAGCTATTGTTTAGAAGATACCGAATCAAAAACAGTGCAATGTAAAGAACATGATAAGCATTTAAAGAAAGACATGATGGTGAGTTATCATGTCAATCTTTATGGTGCTCGCTGATTGTACTTTACTGCTTTAGATCTTAATCTGGAGTAGAACTATATTTAACAATAAGATAAAGTGATAAAATACTCATTAGAGAACTACGTAAACTATCGAAGTTGAAAACATGACAATTAAAAGAAATTAACCAATACAATATTTTGATTGTTTTTGATTGACTGATGAATACTATTGGATACTGAATAACAATGGATTTCAAAAATAGAATTGTTGGTACTATCAATCTGGTTTTAGTCGGTTGGAGTTCAAAATACAATCTTCGAATTAGCCGATGTGGTGGTGATCATCAATACGAAAATGCAGCCTATTACACGGAAATAATATACGTTCAAATTTTGCATTCAGAGGGAATAACACTCATTGCTTATATTCTAGTTGCTAAAAAGCTTCTGTCATTATAAAACAAAAGTATAATAGTGTTAAGCTAACGTTCTTGTAAGCTTTTATTATATTATATGTCACTAGCTGACCCGCGCAACTTCGTCTGCGTCTCTCAATAGTAATAAATTTTCGCCGTTTTTGAAACATTCTTCATTGGTGCTCCGCTCCTATTGATCTTAGCGTGATGATATATAGCCTATAGCCTTCCTCGATAAATGGGCAATCAAACACTAAAAGAATTTTCAAATCGGACTAGTAGTTCCTGAGATTAGCGCGTTCAAACAAACAAACAAACTCTTCAGCTTTATAACATTAGTATAGATTTTTTAGTGTAAGAACACTACGACTATTAAACTAATTTTCTTACTAAGGTATGAATTGAATAAACGTTACGAAAATCGCAATTTTAAAGCTTGTTAAGATAGTTATAGTTACTTTAAATTATTTACTTATTAGCTTGCCTAATACACTCCGAAAATTTTCACCCATCACGGCAGTTCAAGTAGAGAGAAAAAAATGACATCGTAAAACGTCGTTGTGACATTCTCACGCCATACCACAGAAGCTAGACAACTCGAGTGTAGTATCTGTACAATTATTTGTGGTGGAAATTTCACATGAGTACTAGATACTAAAGATGTTGATAGAATAACGGTTTTTCCTTAATAGTCTATAGAAGGAATAAAATAACAACATTGCTCATGTAAATTGGCTTCTGTCTTTAAATTTATTAATATTTCGAAACTAAATCACGCTAATAAAGTCTATGCAATATTTTACGCCTAAAGTATATAAATAAATATTTTGGACATTACACACAACGCCTGTCTGAGGTCATCCGAGGATTTGAGGCTGGAGATGACTCTGCATCCCACAAAATTTTATGACGACTCTTTTACTGTTGAAGCTGTACGCTTGTGGAATGCATTGCCGATAAACATCAGTCGAGCGCAAACGATAAACAGCTTTAAGAAAATGGTTCAAGAATTGTATGTATCTTGTATCTTGATGTGTTTTATGTGTAAATATTTATTTAATTTTACCTCTTTTATGTTAATTAGTAATTAACCTGTCAAAACTCATTGCACCTTCAACTACACCAACAACAACGACTGTCTCTCCAAAACATTTTAGTCCATCCCAAGGGTGCCTGGAAGAGATTGCTCTTAGCCCTTTGTACATTACATGTCTGATATTTTTATATACCATACTACTTGTAAAACGTACAGACAAATAAATAGTTTTCTATCTATCTAACGACATCTAGTTTCAAACTAAGCAGAGTATTTACTTTGAGAGCTAGATTGACTAATAAAACTTTTTTGTGAAAAAATACATATTATACATAGAAAACATCCTTACTCCAAAGTGACCAAGTCTTAGGTATAAGTAGGAAATGTGACCTAATACTTATTCTTTGTGACTGTAAAGTTAAACAGAATATTAGATCAAGTGTCTTATCTTTTCTATCTACCCATTTTATATAATTACTGTTTTTGTATCTATTTTTCAGATCCCACAAGGCACAAAAATTAACCGCATACAAATTCTCAGTAATCTGTTACTCAAGTTTCTCTAAGGTAGGTAAAAACAAACAACAATTTAGCAACGCACTTTTTATAAAAAGATATATTCCTCTTAAGTACTAAGTTAAAAACTAAGAGTCAGAAGATTTAAAATATTAACTTATTAATCAAATTATTTAAAAATATACACAGTTAAGTACGTTAAAACAAAATAATCACGAAGTGATAGTGACAGACGAGTATTTACAAGTTACAGTTGTAGAAATGACATACAGATAATATTCTAAGGAGAAATTGACGTTATTGAATATTGGATATGAAATATTTTGGAACATTATAACTTAAGATTGATTGTCATTGTTGCTTCTTTGCCCTTTTGTCAATGAAGTTAACTTTATAATAATAGGTGTTAAAGTATAATTTTGCCGTTGTACAGTAATAGATACTTTGAATTGACATAAAACCTTCATGGTGTGAGATTTATTTCACATATTCTTTAAATCAATGTGCAACATTCAATTTTCGACTTTCAACTGTTTTTTTTTTATTTGCCTTAGACTGAAAGATAGATACTAGAACTTTGAAAATCCTAGTCATTTTTGAATACGAGTTCCGACGCGGAACTAACGCGGCAGAGACGGCTCGCAATATCAACGCTGCGCTTGGAGAGGAGACTGTTAATTAACGTACGGTCTGTTTTTAGTTTAAATGCTTTTGTAATTAAAACTTCGACTTGAAGAACTTGCCACGTGGAAGACCGATAGGTGAATAACGCTGAATTGAAGGAGATGGTGGAAGCCGATCCGATTCAAATTACCTAGGAATTAAAGGCATAGTTTAACGTTACTTTACTTACAATAATGACTCATTTGGATCAATAAGATAAAAAAATATGAAAAATGGATGGGTCATGATTTGACTGATCCGCAAAAAGAAATGCGTGTTCAAGGCGCCTTTCTTCGTGTGTGTTTTGTTGAATTGGTACAGAAATGAAGGAATATTGGATTGAATTGTGATATGTGACAAAAAATGGATTGTTTACGATAACCGGTAGTGAAAAATGCAATGGCCGATCCCAGGTCAAATGCCGCAACATTGCACCCTAATTAAACCCTAATACACCTGCTGTATTCCTGTTGTGTACAAGGCCCTGTATGTGGTCGATATGCAATATACATATGTAAACCATATATTATTATTATATAGGAAACTAGAGTAGCTCAAGTAAACTAAATATACTTTATGGTACCGTTATGATAATACAGTTAAAAGACGCTCATTTTAAACTACTGTTTAAAGGACCTTACGATTGGTATTATAGACGTCCCTTTTCAGTTTTTATGATTTACAAAAGATTTAATATTCAGATAAGTTCTGTGATTTTATTCATATTAATTGTATAATTCATAGAAAAAGAAAATATTAACAGTTCACGCAACTCTTACTATAGCTATGAACATTTTAAAAGGCACTTTCATGATCAATGACTTTGTTTACCACAATATGTACAAACTGATTAATTATCAGTTTTTAGAAAACTCGAAATTTGTTATTTGTCTACATCATCATTACCATCCTCTCCTTCTCTCTCTCTCTCTCCTTAAAAACGAGGTTTTGTCTATATGTTGGATGTTAATTTTATTTTATTTTTTTTCCTTTCAGATTATAAGCTCATCATGGTCTTACTTCACTATTTTACAAACATTATACAAGCTATCGGATACTAATAAAGCTTAGAATATTGATAAGTAGTACATTTTTTTTATTACACAGTAAACTACGTATAAGTAATTGTAGAAGTAGTGATTTAGATAATGTTTATTTAACTGTTCTCAAGCACATTCAATCGTCAAAAGACTGTTAATAAAAAGTTTACAAAGTTATACATTGAGTATGTATCAAAATTAATTTTCAAATTCAATCCATTTTTTTATCTCATATCATCATTATATTTTATGTAAGGGTAAGCGAAAAGACGGATACTTGATGTTAAGTGACTACCGGCGCTCATGGATATCTGCAACTCAAATGTCACAAGTCCGTTATTGGCCTTTGAGTGCCCCGTCAGAATTGAAGAGTTACCAGAGAAGTAAGACAGAAAAATACCAGAGTTAAAAGTCTATATAAATATTATATTTCATGTAGTCCATATTCCCAATTCTGTAAATGGAATTACGGGATAGATTTCTACTATTGCAATCTCAATTCTTGAAGATAATTGATCAAACTTTTAATATAACCGACAACCACGAGGGCAGTTTTCAGTAACCTGAAATATTTGTACGCGGCAATGGCATACCAAGCGGTATGTGGTTTTTACCGCTTACTCTAGTACTGTTGGCAGCCTATTCTTCTGCCTCCAAGTATGGTCTTCTGAAAGTAGATAATAATATGTTGCAAATGAGAACTGTGATTGTCTTATATGCTAGTCTCTGGTAACGTAATGGTTTGCTACTTGCATTTATCAGACTATCAGTCTTCGCGTCATAATATTATTTTTGATGGCATAGGGGACTAACGAGCAGACAAGTCACCTGATGTTAAGTGACTACCGATACCCATAGACACCTGCAACTCAAGAGTCACATGTGCGTTGCGACTTGCCACCCTTCCATAAATATTATCTTGCAAAAGTGACGTCCAATACGGCCTACTATATTAATATACTATTGGTATGGTGACCTATTAGGAATACGAAGTGGCACTACCCCTGTTCATCCAGTGAGTGTTGTAAGAGCCGACTAAGGGAAAAACTAAGCAGAACAAGGGCACTGCAAAGAGAAGGAAAACTTGAAACAAACCCTGTGCCAACCCGTCTGGCCTGCGTAGTATAGTAGGCCAAAACCTCCTTTCTAAGGAGGGGTCTATGTCCAGCAGTGCACTATTAAAGACTGTTGATGATGATGATAATGATATTAATAGTATACATTTTTGAAAACCATGTAAAACAAAGGTTTTCAAATATGTATATCGTTTTATTAATCACCATCGTAATTAGTTTTTCAACTATTGCTTTGACTATTTTTCTCTTTGATCCTATATTAATGAAAAACATTGAAATTATTAATTTACATAAATACAAAGAAAATTGGTTTAATTCAAATGGAATTTTCAATAGGCGTAGATTTGTCAAATGAATGTTTCATTCCTTGCTCGGCCTCTAGGGTTGGCATTCTTGTCTCGTTTCATTTATTTTTTTGACTATGGCGTTGACACAGTTTTGACAATATGAAAATATTCTATTTAATCTTTTAATCTTATGCTGTTACTAAATTTTCTGAATCTAATATGTATGATAAAAAATAGGTGTAGATTTAAGTTAAGAAAAGCACCGAGTCAGCAGCCTTAATATAAAGATGGAACTTTAAATTGCTATACGGGCCTTTGTGTCCCTTACCTATTTCGATAAATTTTCAAAGAAGTTGTGTTATTAATTATAATAATAATTTTACTTTATAAACAATAATAATAACTTCAACAGTTAAACGCGGTTTTATGTTCCAAAAAACCGGTCAGAGCTTGTAACCAGACTGAAAACAAATATCTCTATTTATTTAATATATTAAGAGCATTGTTGCATTGATGAGAAATAAAGACTAAACTTGAAACGAAAAATAGATAAAAAACAATCTTTGAAGCAGTCAAAATTTGAGCTCAATTAGTGCAGAACTTTTTGAGTTTTTTAACCGAACACAAACCAACTAAACATTTTTGTATATATAAGAAGAAGATGTGTAGTATTGGTATATTGACTAAGATTTTTGCTAACCCTATTGTTGTTTAATACTATTTAAATACAAGAAATTTCTTTATATGTACATCAATTAAAGCGGTCTATGGATATGGATAGTATGACATGACTTTGTGAACCAGTATCTTTACCATTTTGTTAAAAGACACATGAAAACTTAAACTGTAACATTGAGAAAATTACGAAATGGATATACCAACGTACGAAGAGTTTCTCAAACAAATGAAAACAAATTTGTGGCTATTAGGAACTCCTTATGGTGACTCTAAAATACATCTGAGATTTTACATTCTTGTACTTACTATAATTATAATGCTTATATTAGAGGGTGCATTTTTCTTCTCAAGTATATCTTCTGAGAATCTTCTGGAGTTAACACAATTAGCTCCATGTATAGCCGTTGGCCTTTTATCACTTTTAAAAGTGATCACAGTAGGTCAAAAACGGAAGAAAATTTTTAAATTGAGTGAAAACCTCCGCGAACTTTACAGTCCTATTTTGGCCAATACTAATGAAAGACAACTTGTAAAACATGATCTAGTTCTGGTGAACTTGTTGATGAAATACTTTATTGTTCTCAATTTGGTACTTATTTCGGTGTATAATTTTTCCTCGTGTTGTTTGATGTTATACCACTATTTCACAACAAAAGAAATAGTATTTATGTTACCGTATGCTATTTTGTTACCATTTTCAACTGACACTTTGATTCCTTGGATTGCTGCATATATATTCTCCATTATATGCGGTATGTAAACCAATCACTTCAGGAATAAATTTAATTGATCTGTGTCATATTTATTTGGTTACTTTTTGGTTTCAGGTTTTGTATGTGTTCTATTTTTTACAACCGTTGATGGTCTGTATTTTGTCCTGACTTCTCATGTGTGCGCTAACTTCTGTGTTATCAGTCATATAATCAAAAGTTTGGATGAAACAAAAGTTCATATATTGGGAGAAATTGTCAAAAGACACCAGTATATCTTAAAGTAAGGAGTGACTTCAGTGTCTAAAATGCTGATTCAAGAAAAATAAACATATTTTGTAAAACAAATGTAGAAAATGAAAACAACTAAACAAACCTTCATAATATACAAAGATATATATATAATGAATACAGTAATTTAGTTATGGTGTTCATTCATTTAAAACTTTATAAAAGCTTTTTTTTTATCATAATAATAATAATAATAATATTCTACCACATACACACAACGCCATCTAGTCCCAAACTAAGCAGAGCTTGTACTATGGGTACTAGACAACTGATATAAATACATATATACTTTTTTTTTTTTGTAAATACATACATATTATACATAGAAACACCCAGACCAAATCAAACATTAAATGTTCATGCACACAAATGTTTGACTTGAGCGGGAATCGAACCCGCGACCTTTGGAATAGCAGTCCGTTACACAAACCACTACGCCATCCGGTCGTCATGTAGTAACTGATTTTAATAATCAATCATTAATAAATCTTGCCGCACAGTATTCGATTTTCTATTATTTTTTACATTAAGTATTACCAATTTTAGTCAGCGAAGTTAGACCGAAGCATTACATATTCGAACAACGAGTTCTGTAAAGAATGCTATGAAAAAATTACCACTAATTTCAAGATGCCCTTGTTCCTGTAATAAATTAAACAAAGAAGCCTTTGAACAGCTGCAGGATATTAATTAGTTAAATTAATTAAGAATCCGGGCGAAATAGAAATACATATAATTGAATTAATTTTTTTATAAAATTTTAGGCTGGCGGATGATTTGGAAGACATCTTTACGGCGCCCAATCTCTTTAATGTGTTGGTGGGATCTTTAGAAATATGTGCGCTTGGATTTAATTTAACGGTAAATTTCTTCATAATTATGTTTATTTTGATAGTCATGGCACTGATCAAATATTTTAAGAGAATCTTATTTTTGTTAACTTCGTTTTTCGTCTCATTCATTTTTTCCCAATAATGCTTACGTTATTTCTATGCTTGACGATATGTGCCCATTATAATATATGTAATATATTTTAATGGGCACAATGAATTAACGAATGGCGTAGTGGTTTGTGTAACGGACTGCTATTCCAAAGGTCGCGGGTTCGATTCCCGCACAAGTCAAGCATTTGTGTGCATGAACATTTAATGTTTGATTTGGTCTGGGTGTTTCTATGTATAATATGTATGTATTTACAAAAAAAAAAGTATAATATGTATTTATATCAGTTGTCTAGTACCCATAGTACAAGCTCTGCTTAGTTTGGGACTAGATGGCGTTGTGTGAATGTAGTAGATTTTTTTTTTTTTTTATTATAATAAGTTTGCTTCCTACTACGTTAGTGGGACTAAAATTATATTTAGCAAAATGTGGGCGTTAAAACACCTTTGCCTAATAATGTTATGTGTAGTTTATTTCTAACTTAAACGTTGGTTTGCAGACAGGATCTTGGGAGCAACTTCCCGGAAATCTTCTATTCTTGACGTCAGTTCTTCTGCAAATTTTAATGATGAGTGTGTTTGGAGAAAACATTATAAGAGATGTAAGTAGGCTAAAAGACACAAACACGACTTAGCTGTGCCTTATCAGCGTTGTTTTTCTTCACATTTTTTTTTTCACAGGGAAAGCAAATGTTTAGTGTGTTGTATGATAAGAGTAACAGTATACTCGTAGACATTCTGCAAATCTTTTGAGATTTATGCACAGAGAAACAGAAACAAACAATTAACCAATCAGTGGAACGGGTTATCGTCTGCGGTTTCTCCCAACCGACACGGATTGAACCTTCAAGAAAAGAACGTACTCCTTCCTAAAAGGCCCGCAACGCGTTTGTGACTCCTGAAGTGTAGACGTTCATAGGCGGTCAATGGTCAAACACTATTACACATACAATATAAAAACTTACGTCTTTTTTCTCCTGTGATAGGCATGAAAAAAATATTATTTTTGATAAAACTACAAATTAAGTTTTTTAAAGTAATAGATCTC